TTTTTCATCCGAAACACATTTTGAATTGTCAATGATTCAATAATTGCAGTTAACAGATGTTTGATTAGGTTAGTGACCCTTTATGATCATTATAGAGTCGAAATTTGAAGAGAATCAACTCTCAATGAGTTAGTCGAGATTGATAATATTCATATATGGACAACGGGTAAATCTGATAAAGAGGCAAGGATTAAGTGCACTTTCATATAGTTGAGCAACAAGCACAACAACGATTATCACCGGAATCAATCCAAACGAAACTTCAACCACAAAAACGAAACAGATTAATAGTACAACATTCCACAATTCTCCGAATTCATCATAATTCTAGTTTGTCATCCACAAATGGCGTTTCATTGGGTGACATATGACCTTGCACTTCTTCATCTTGTACACTCGTTGAATTTGTTGTCAGATTATCGGTCAATGGAAGAGCAGTTGCCGTTGAGTTGTCCTGGGAGGCTCCTTCATTGTCCAGTTGCTGTTGTGCTGAAAGTTCAGGAATTTCTTCGAGAATCCACTCAATTTCTCCACACCCTAAGGCCGTAGAGGTGACGAAAATCGTAAAAAGTCAACGAAACAACACTGATGAATTTCATTCCGATGATACTGCTAAAATTTGAAACGTCTTAGAACCGTAAATGATAGCTGCAGTTGATATTAATTGTAAGTGAAGACGAACGATGAAGAAAAAATTGTGAAGCTTTGCAGTTGATGCTACAAGAAGTTGTATGGGAACTAATCAGCTCACATGACCATGATCATACTTTGATTATACCACATGCATACTTAATTACCCACTTATTATTACAATAGAATCAAAACATTCAAACATTGCGCACATAACACATAAGCCAAACCTCAAATCATTATTTGATTGGAAATTCAAAGAAATATGCGAAAATACGGAAATCCTTTAAAATGATGAAAAATCTGTTCCCATGCTGTTCAACAAAAACTGTTGGAAGCAGTTGTTAGATGCAAGAGAAAAAGTTTTTGACATGTGACCTATCTGGATATTGTGTACATTCGAATGCAATCTACCAGCAATTCATACTCAAATCCATTCTGACTGAAACACTCAACGATCATATACTGAAGAAAATGACGGAAACCTCACAGTGCCTACTGCCTATTGTCCACCTAATATAATTGTAGTGTTGACTGCTAAATGTTGAAATTTAAACACTACATGAATGAATGAAAATCCGTAAAGAATTATTTGTGATTTGAACGAACGAAACGAATTGAAATCATTAATAAAAGCGAAAAGTTTTACTTTAATGCAACGAACAAAATCAACGAAACAATATTTCAAGCAAACATTAGTATGAATGAATTGTGACTGGAGACAAAAATAGTATCCATCGTTAGAGACAGAGAGCGGCAGCAACATCAAAATGTTCACCATTTCTGACAATAGTAACCTCGCTATTCTCAAACGCAACAACCTCACCGTTGAAACAGCAAAAAACCGAACGTATTGAATCCAATGAAATTTTTCAGTCTGCGCAAACTCATGGACTGAATAATTCAGCCAACTAAAATCTACTCTCTTCTGACGCTATTGCACAAAAATTAATCGAAACTGATTAATCACATTGCTGCAGTCAACAAGCGTCGAATATGCGCCTTAAATTCATCAACAAAATGTTATCAATGGGGACAACACCGGTAACAACCGAGAGAATGCATATTTGTTCTCAACAATAATTCCGTTATAGAAATGAATCACTCATCAGAATTGTATAGAAATGAACAAAACGAACAACTAAATCAAAAGTATTTCTTCTGATTGTTACAAACAATGAAAATGAATTCTTTTTCCATTTCCTGATTTTCGATTAACAAATAAATAACGAAAAGAGATCACAAGCGAAATTCAAATGCACACTTCAAAAGATATTCTGTGAGAACTGAGGCATGCTTGTGTGATCGACCCAAAATTCGATGTACACAACGATGAGAAGGCAAATTAACGCAAATATAAGCAAGCCAATTGAACGCCTCCAAATAACAATCGGTAAGAGAATACAGAAACTTGTGAGTGCTATTGAACGAAGCAATACGTCTGGTCGTAACCACATGTCTACGTGATCCGCTGAAAATATCCTCACCCACAAAAATGTCAGAAATTCGTCGCAGTAGTCAACTGCCTCAAAACGAGTAAAACATATCAGACTCTAGAAGCAGACAGTAAGGATTGAAAACTATGGGATGGTTGCAAGTGGCGATAATCAGATCACTGAGCGAACGATACGGGCATTTACTTAACACTCATACGGATATCAAGACGCATTTTTTCCAATCCAATTTGAGTTTCAGTGTTCCGAAACCAGAAAATTATGTCGGGTCATCCAAACAACACAGTATAATGTGAGCGTTGAACGTATGAAAGTTGACTTAAAAAACTGCCAAATGGAATATGATGTAGGAAAAAATTGATTTTAATTGGATAGTTACCTTGAACATCCAAAACACACGTGCCATTCGAATCACGTACAAAGCCGAGCTCACATGAACATTGGTATGATCCAATCGTGTTGATACAAATAGCATGCTCTCCAGGGCATCTTCCCTCGTCCTCGCATTCATCTACATCTTCAAAACCAGCTGGTTATTTGTAGCAATTCAAATATACAATATATTGAACTACTTCAGAATTTGTTCCACAGTAATTTTAAGATAATTAATGATTTATAAGATTTCATAAGATACATAAGATTCCATTGGAAACAATCAGTTGAATGGATTTTTTACAATAATGAAACTTCAACGACAGAGAAAATTGATTTTTATGTTTCAAAAATTCTGACAGAAAACTAAATCCAATGCTGATCTACCCGAATACTACCAGATAAATTGATCAACTAAAACAATATCAGCAATAAATGGGTCTAACAAAAGAACCCAATCACAGACCTTTACATCCCTCAATCGCATCCATTATCCATCCACTACGGCATTCCTTGCATCCGACTGCTCCTTCTTTATCGCAACCACCCTTACACGCCGGATCGCATTCTAAAATTTTCCATACTTCGTGGTAAAAATATATTTTTTGCGCGAAGTTTTTTTTGACTTTTGATTTTCAGATACGATCAAAAACAAAGTTTTTGATCGTATCTGCATTTTGAATTCATTACTGAAAAAAGATGGAAACCCCTGAATGAATAACATCATTTCACCTTTACATTCAATTGAGTTTGGAGTTTTCTGGGCGGTGAAATAATTTGCATCACAATTACTACACATGAAGCCAACATAACCCGTTTCACATTTGCATTTTCCATCACCTTGCCGAGATCCATCACCCTTCAAATAATTCCATAATTAATTAACTGAACAAGGATTCAATTCACTACCGTACAAAATTTCGTCAGCATCGAATTTACTGATCCAACTGATAACTCGAACCGGAATAGAATATACCACACAAATGAACTCATCAAATGAATCGTCACTGTTCAGTGAGAAGGGACATTTTCAGTAGCATCTCAACCGTAAAATTCAGTTGCGTCGAGGAGAAAAGATTTTGCTCGACATAGTTCAGATCTTTGAAAACACCGAAGTTTATATCGAAAAGGTTTTTTAGAACGTCAGAACTTGGAACGTTTTCATCAGAATCGTTACTGAAAAAAGGACTATCAATCGCTAATCACTCACATTACACGATCCCCTTCCAAAACAGGCCGGTAATCCCTTATCGACACCAGGGCACGGTTTACAGTCCTTACCATAATGACCACTACGACAACAAACACTCAGTTTCTCTAGACACAACCAAGTGTACATGTCCGGATCAGACTTTTGCTTATGAAAGTACCAGTTTTCAATCGCTTCCTCGTGTTCTTCTACCATCTGTTGGCACTAAAAACTTTGACATCTTCTCACTTAAGATTTAAATCCAAAAAAATTTTGCAGGAGGATATTTCTTTTTTACAAAGCAATGACAAATCTTTCTCAGTGAGGGAATCAGCTAACACACCTTGAATTCAGTGTCCTTACCAACATCGAATCTGTGCCTCAAAGGTTCATCAATTGTTTTTAATTTACACAGGTCCTCCATTATTTCAACCAATCGTGTCTCACTGAAATTAAATTTTATTTACATTCACTGAAGGGTAACGTTCAATCTGTTTACAGTACAGAATTCAGATGGCTTCTCAATTATATACAGGCATCAAGTGAACGTAATCAAAAACAAATATTCACTATCAGATAGATGAAGATCACAAAAGGATGCTTTATTTCTGATTACGTTCTCTTATTTACTGATTATTACGATTCTTGATTACTGATTACGAAATGTGACAATTCTCTTATTCGATTCTCTTCAACAATTCTCCTTCGAACAATAAGATAGGTAATTAATAAATCGAGAAAATATCGTTTGGCTCAACCTTTTGGCAAATTTAC